AAAAGTAATACCATTCCAATGTCCAGTTGAACGCAATAAGGGCATTAAGCATCATCTTTAGCAACGGCCGCTCTCTCCTGCGTCTCAACTTTTCAGGTATCTCCTTTTTTGGAGGACCCTTCATTGCAGGGCAGTGAGAGCACCCTGACAAAACCAAATAGACAGCCCCTGAAGGCTTTTTCTCTAGCACGGACCCTCTCGGACCCTGACTGCGGGGGCTTCTGCTGCAGGCGCAGGCTCGGGAGGCACATCTGCCTTGGCAAGCGTGTAATCTCTCATGGAGAAAATAAGCAAGTTCAACAAAACAGGTTGGGATGCAAAATAGCTGAGTCGCCGCACAAACAGGCCTTGACCTTCTATCGTTGCGTGGTTTTTGAATGGGAACACTTCCAACAAAAGAAAACAGTGCCAGTGGACAACTAGGCTGCTGCTTCTTTGGCTGTGGAAACCTCTGCCGCCGCCGCGTCCGTCGCCGGTGCTGCTGACTCTGTTGCTGCGGACTCTGTCGCTGCGGGCTCTGCTGCTGCTTCTGCCACTGGCCCTGGCTCTGCTGCCGTGGGCTCGGCTGCTGCAGGCTCTGCAGCAGCTGCCGAAGGCTCGGCCGCTGCCGAAGGCTCGGCTGCTGCCGAAGGCTCGGCCGCTGGCGAAGGCTCGGCTGCTGCCGAAGGCTCGGCCGCTGGCGAAGGCTCGGCCGCTGCTTCTGCCGTCGGCTCTGTCGGAGCTGGGGCGGCTGCGTCGGCTGCGGCATCTGAGCCCGAGTCAGCCGGGGCTGCCGCGTCTGGGCTCGCATCCGCATCCGCGGTGGCCTCCGGCTTGGAAGCCTGCGCACGCGCAAAGTACTTTCGCTTGATGCGTCAACAACAACTACTTTGGCAGGATCCTACGACAGGGTGATGATATGTGACAGTTAGCGGTTCATTCCTCGACAAAACATATATTTCGCGAATGTTTCGCGACTCCATGGTCAAGCCCTGTTTGCAGCGCGCTCTGGAGCCCTTGTTGCTGTGGCAGTTGCGCTTGCAAACCCAGTGGCCGCGCTATTCACTTGCAGAGAAGCAGTCACTACCATTCCCCGATTCCACTTTCGCTTGCCGTGACTGCTGGGGCCAATGTGCGGAACCTTGCGACAAGCTCCACGGTCTCTTCCACAAAACTTGCTCCAAAATAGCCCAGCCAACTTTTTGGGACAAACGCAGGCAGGGATTCAAGGACACGTATCCTTGTCTACATCCAACACATAGCGTACAAGTCAGATACCAAACCCATAGGGCCACATCACACAACCATTGCAGGTTTCTATGCTGACGATGCTCCACTGTCTTGTCTTACAATCTACCCCTTCACAGCCAAGAAGTATTTTATTCCTTACTGGTTTCTGCGATGCACTTCACATTCATACTGCAGTGTTGTTTGCGAGCCGCTAAACCCTTCCCCCGTTCCTGCACACACAGAATCTCACATCTTCTTCCACATGTGCTCACACACCACACACACACAAAGTTAACTCACGCATGCTCACACTTGATTACATCTGTTGACACAGTCTCCGGCAACACGGCCTCAGCTTCTTCTGCGTCACCCTGGCATGGAGCAAGTGACTGCAGGTAGGGCCAAAGGAGCTCAAGATGACAGGGTATTTGTCAGTGTGTTGAAAGTCTCTCCGGACAATAGCACTCAAGGAAGCTGTCGTGCCTATGATAACACCTCGCCGGCAGTCAAAATTATCTTCCGCTGCAGGGCAACAAAAGCAGAATCCAAACACTGTGGTCCCCCACATCTTGAATTTTAAACCAAATCCGTGTGCCAACCAAGGCAGAGCGACCATGGGTTCACTGATTGCAGCGCCGTGCCATGCACGCTGTGTGGCAGTGAATGTGCTGCTAGTCTGTGCTGTCGCACTTTGATTCTACAGTGGAAGCCACTTTCCCAAACCGCTGCAGCTCGAACCTTCTCAGTCGGCCGCCTGGACACAAGCGATCAACTCCCCTAAACAGCATATAAACAGTTGCGTTGCGCAGACTCTGGTAGAACAGGGAACCAGCTTTGAAGAACCGGCCTGACAACAAGGGCCACACCACAGGGCAAATCACACAGCAAAAATGACCTCTGGCAGGATCTTTCCAAGCAAAGCCAAGGCAAACACCAAAAGCCTGCCATACGCGCCATGCACACTGGTCGAGCCAGCAATGTCAGCTCACGCGGGCTAAGCATTTTGTTAAACCGCGTCGGACCGTGTGTTCAAGCATCAGCTTCGTCGGTGGAGAGGTCTTCCAGCGCGTCCCACCTGCAGATCAGCAGGCTGACGCTCGCAGTCTGTCAAGAACACCCTTTGGTAACCCTTGCCAACAGTTCTGCAAGTGGACAGGCTCTGCAAAATGAAAGTCGTCATCTAACACCCTCCTCTCCATGATTGTTGAAGAGACAGTAGTAACTCTTGGACAAAGGTTCATAAGTCAGCAGGGCCGGGATTAAGGCAAGCTGCAGCAACAGTGCGCCAAACCAGAAGTGCTCCACACATGAAGCTTGCAGCAGTACCATTCACCAGACGAAAAAGGGAAATCTTTTGCCTGGCAAAGTGGCGTGGTCTCTACTCGAGCCCTGGATGCTGACCAAGTTCAACCTCCATGTTCAAGTCAGGAGCCTGTTGTTCTGTGCTCATCTCCCAAACATGGGTGGGATGTCAGACAAGCTCAAATTGTCAATAATTGATGCTGGTTTGGGCGCGGGTGTAAAATCGAAATTGGAGAGGCCCGCAGTTGGTGCATTTTCAATTCAGCTCGTCTGCAGCCTACGAATCCTGGCACACGTCGCCTGCTGATTCTTTTCAATTTGGGTTGTTTTGTTGCGCGGTTGGTTTGAAGGGAAAGGAAAGGGAAGCCACGAGACAAACACTACCTACCGATGCAAACTTGCAGGACACCCCCAAAATGGCATCCTTTTTGGCCGACTGCCAAGCTTACATTGCAGTGAGTCAACTGCGCAGTAAAAGGCGTAGTTCGAAAATCCGCACCATAAGCGCAAAACAAATACGGAACGACAAGGTGCGGACGGTGCCAATTGGCTAGAAGGCATAAATTATCAGTATCGAACCTGAGCAGCGAATGCGTCGACTTGTGGCTGTGCGCTCGGCAATCAGTACAAGCTCAACAAAATTCACGTGTTCCATGGCCAAAACTCCGTATGTGGGCCACGCTCATGATTTCCTGAATAGGAGCCCTTATCAGTATCAAGTTCCAAGCAAAACTCCACGACCATGCCTAAGTAGGGTGCCTTGACCAAGGCCCAGCTTAGATCTGACTAACCCAAAGCACCCTCGAATGGACCTGCTGCAGGGGTTTGGGGGGAGTCCTAGCTGTCGCTGGGTTGGCCAATCCGAATGGAAATGTACGTTGAAGCTCGGGTAGGCGCTGCCATTTGGCAGGGGGTTCCTTCTCAACATCTACAAATTTGTCACTCATTGTCAGGCCCAGGTTTTGATCGAAGGTGGAAAACACGCACAATGCAACTACCGCGCCCATTGAAGTAACATCATCAAATAACAATCTAAATGGTAGTTTAAAAATGAACCTCCCCTCTGCCGCTCTGCTACAAGCAAAAGCTGTCGCCAACAAATGCACTGCTGGCTCTGAACAAACACCGTTGTAAGTTTTAATTTGAGAGCGGGAAAAGACAAGTCTGGCCTGCCATCCTTGCAGTGCTTGCAGGCCTAAGACCCTTTTTTCTCCCCTCACGCCTTCCCTTCTTGGCCGTTGGGCTTCTGCCCACCAAGAGGCTTTTGGCAACATATGGCTGGGGCTTGTCTTAGAACTTTTGGCATGTGAAGTCAGTCATGCAAAGAGCTGGCGATAAACAGATCAAACAACATCTTTGCCTGAAGCCGTCGGCGAAAGCCTATTCGCGTGTGAGGCCCTGGAGCGGGTCTCCCCTCACTCGGGCTCAAGGAGTAGCTCGAGCTCCCTGCAGCTCACTGGGAATTTGCTTGGCTGGTGCTGCTCAACATGGGTTGCCAATCGTCTTCCCAGACCTGTAGATGAGGAAGCTACAAAGGGGACCCTGTTTGTAACCCAAGGAAAGCAAACTGCAGGACTTGACGAACTTTGATGTACCAACACTCACACACACACACACACACATTCCATTCGCTCACACAACGGATACAAAGGAAAATGCCCGCTAGCGGGCTTGAATTACCCGAGATGGTGATACGATGGCTTCCTATGGGATCTCAAACCGCGGCTTGCCTGTTGAGCGAAGGACCAATGAAGACCCCTTTAACATATATCACGGGCAACCCTAGCCCCCGGGTCCAAGTGAGGCCGGTCATGCCGGGGATGCGAATCACAAGCTCTAGAAAAACAAAAACATCCCTAGGAAAATAATAATATATATATTTTTGAAAAAAATAAAATAAAAAAAATCCTCATCTGTTTGTTTAACCCTCATCGACAAAAGTTGTTGGCGGATCGACATAAATCCCCACGTAAGTGATCAACCAAAGGAACCCTCGTTGATAGAGCCAACGTGGCTCAAACGGCTCTCTTCTTTGGGTGGGGCAGGGCGATCAAGTGCGATCCGACTAGTCTACTTGTCTTCTGATAAGCGTGCTTTGCATGTACGAGCAAAACTCGCGAGGATTCAGGTAGACTATCCCACACGTAGCAGGCATTTGCTCATGGTTGCAACAAAATTATCTGATCCAGGATGAAAGTTATGACCAACTAAGTTACCACGCCAACCTGGGCTTGAGTTGCACTGGCAAAAAAACAGGTGAAACTAACACCCTCAATTGTCAACACCGCCTGACGATGTTGGAAATCATCCTTTCAATCGATTGGCTTTCAACTGTACGTTCAGACAGTTACACATGAATCCATCTCATACCCTCTTCCAGTGCACCAACATTGCCCTGCCTAGCCACCGCATCCTGGTCGTTGGTCCAAGGGCTCACTCGATTTGCCACCTACAGCCATCCACACAATCCCGGGAAGGTTCCAAGACCAACGTTACTTGGTGTCTTGGTTGGTTTTAGCTTAGAGCCCCTGCAAACGTGTGAGGACTTTGCTCAGCATCGCGATGGCTGGTAGAAAGGTAAACTGCAAATTTGTCGGCTTGTGAGAAAAAAAACATACTCCAAGAAGCTGACAGATTGACAGTTGTGCCACAGAGGAACCTATTGATCTCCCAAAAGGAATGGCCCTCAGTCAGCAACTCCGCTTCATGACAAGCTCGCAACGCACCGAGCCTGGAAGCGCCTGTTAAATTGAATGAAGGAACAAATAGATTTACAACAACATACAATAGGAAACAAAAGAAAAGGGGCCTCCTTTGCAGAGGCTTTGTAGTATTTGCAGCCAAAGCAGCCAATCAAGCACATCCCTTGGTAGTCAAAAATGGATCATGCCGATACAAGGTGCTAAATGAATAGCTTGCAAACAGCCCCAAATTCTTCAGTCCAGGATGGGGTGAATTCAGTCATATGACATGATGCAAGTGGGGCAACAAAAATCTTAGGGGCAGGCGATGGAGCATGTCAGCATGTCACTGTGCATGGTTGGATTGCCACAACACTGCATGGCTTCATCGGCAAAACAGGGGGCGGGTTTCATTTGCTTCACAGTTGCCAGGTTGCAAAGCACAATGGAAAGCACACAATAATGCAATGCCACCGATGGCACCTCATAAGGAAAATCCAATGTTTCTGCCAGATCTACCGCTGAAACCTGTGCTGCTTCAACCCTTCGCTCCTGCTATGATCTCCTGGAAGATCCACCTTACTGTCCTGCAGATTATGGAACCCAAAGAGCTACCATGTCTAGAGAAACCTCTTTTCTTCCCCGCCCCCCCCTTGACTTGAAGCATCCGGCTGGGCGTCCGAACTTGTTTCAACTCCTCCTTGGCGTTCTGCATGGCGACGCCCTCACCAGCCAGCGAGAGCCTCGCATAATTTGAACGAAAATGCAAGTCGTTGGTTTGGCTTGCGGCTTGCGGTGGCTTGCAAAGGAATCCAGAGAGGGCAGAACGTGCCCAAACAGGTCGCGGCCAAACGAGGTGCAGAGCGAAACTGCTACTCAAGACCACTGCCGTCGGGCCACTCTGTAGATCTGAATGTCAAAATGTCTAATGCCGGTTGAGGCATGCGTTGCTGTTGCGCACCCTCGACAAAGACATTTGTGAATCGCCAGGAAACATCTCCATGTCGTTGAAGTTGTCGCCAAATGCAATCACTTCGTCCTTGGCAGCACTGCTGAAGAATTAAGTGCATAGCTTTTCAGAACTGGTCATTTGTGGGGCCCTTATTTTCACCACAGCCTCAGTTTATTGAATGGCTTTCAAGCCCTGGCTCGCTTTTCTTGTGGCCGAGGATCGACTTTCATGCCTAGCTCGCTGCAGAGTCGCTGCAGTGTGTCACCTCTCATGGCATTGCCCTTACACTCTGCTCACTCTGGGACGTTTGCCTCTTTCCTTGCCAACATAAGGGAGAAGAACCAAGCAGCATGCTCAAAGGATCAACAAGCCATCCGCTGTGATACTGAATTCCTTCAGTTGCTGAGGCACTGAAGGGCACGTCAATGTGAACACAAGATGTCTTCAATGTCTCTAGATTATACCGAACTTGTTCCATGATTGGCGGGCTTGGCGGGAAAGCCCGACGAAGATACTAAATCTGAGTTGCGGTTGAATTACTCCGCGCTTGATCCCCACCTTGCCTTTGTTCACATCTGCGGGCAGGAACCTTGGCACATCATGAGCCTCTTCCTGTCCAATACCTCAAAAAACCCTATCGCGCATGATGGGAGGGGGCTCTCGCATACATGAAACCTTTTAAGGACCCATGTGTCTTTTGGCTCACCTCGACGGATCGGGTTGTGGCAAACAAATATGGTGTCTGTTCCTCAAATGCAAGGTAAGGGTCCTGTCCTTTGCGCAGTTCAAGGATGAACAACACAGCCAACACTGCGCGTCGATTTGGTCCTCTGGATGTATCCGCAGCAAACATCACTGACATGTGCTATCGTGGTTCCCTGCCCAAATGGGCTTGACACATGTGGCTTGGTGAAGCTAAAGCCTCAGTTCTGATTCGTGCCAGCGAACTCGATGTGCATCTCCGCCGCCACCACATTTGCAGCGCCAGGCGGCAGCAACTTTCTCGCCTGATCGCTTCTGTGCCTGGACCCTTGGATGATGTGATTCATCTGGGCTATGAGTTATAAAAGTTATAACCAACTTACAACGTCAACTGCAATTGGGGGACTTGCAAGTGGATGCCAGCCCAGGTTACTAACCACTTACTAACCGGTCCGAGCACTCATGAGCAACAATGCCACCACCAAGTGCCTAGGCGCTCATGTCTGATGAACTCCAACCTCCCAAAGGTCATACCTGTACAAGCCAAGTGTTGCTTGTGCTGTGAGTGACTCTTTTGTTCGGGCTGCCAGGCCTGGCAAAACTCTGAACCGAAGCAAGCGTCCTGGCAATGACAGGATCGTAGGACACCGGGAACCAAGAACGAGTTGGAGAGTCAGTCCAACTTTGGTCAATCACGCCGCCAATCCCAAGGCTCTGGGTAAAAGTCGATGGCCGGCTGTGGGAAAATGTATCTAAGCAAGACGCTGGTTCCTAAAACCACGGCAGCAACGTTTCTGACGGAAGCCTTCTGGGGGACAAATCCAACCTGGCTCATTTGCAGTATCAACCCCTGGATACCTTTTGGGGCAGTGTTCCAAGCAAACTCAATTATTCATCCCTTTTCTAGGAGTTCAACTCCTCGTATCACCTTGACATTCCGTTCTTGGCCCATGGTCCAGGTTGCACCGCGGCTCAGCCCCCCTCGGCCCACGCCAATTGTACGCCTCAGCTGCTTGGCCCCGGGGGTCTGCTGCCAGAGCCGTGACCTTCAGCGGCGGCTCGTCCAGCATTTCCCAAAGGCTTGCGACCCGCGCCTGAGACCGGCCGCTTGTCTGCGACAGCTGCAATAGGCATGTTCATGTTGGGGAGAGAGGGTGAGAACAAAGGTGTGTCGGGTGTTTGGGAGATGGATCCATGGCAACAGAGCGGGAAAAAAAAGTCTGGGTCAAGCGGCGGATTCAATGAGTAGAATATTTTTGTGGGTCAAAATGAGCACTGAGGGTTAAGTTCCTTCTGCAAAGCGATTCTCTTGAAGATCCCGTTGGATCTGAAGCTGAGGCATTGGCGAGGAAATTGCACCTGTTCCCCGAGGGCTTGACTTCTCTTTTTCTGATGGATCACACTCAAGACATGAACACAATGAATTGGTCATCTACCTCTTGCGAAGCCCTAAGCAAGAAAGAACCCAACAAACAACGTTGTGCAACGCCTAAACAAAGTGGCAGGATGTGCCATGCCATACAAGCGCTACAAGTATCAGGAAAGAAACATTTACTCAGCATCTCCAACTCAGCCGATCCTCCGACTTTCCAGACGTCGGCGTTTTATTGGGGCCCCTGCTAGCTTCTCTGCTTGGATAAACAAACGCGCAGGGACTCGGGCAAAGCGCAAATGAGGGAAGAATCCCATCCCGGTCGAATATGTTTTTACTCAAATCTGTCCCAATCCCCTGCTTTCCAACCAGTCCTTGCGGATTTGGATGCTCATGTCTCAAAATACGGAAGGTCCTCCAGGATGGATTAATAGGGACCAATACTTCCTTCTTGGCTTATGGTAACATTTCGCAGGGTCCCCAAAATGAGACTTCAGCAACTCCCCATGACCCACTTAGTTTTTCTGAGCTGACTAGTGAACCCGGCACACGCGGCACCCAGCGCCTGCTGCATGCCTTCCAGGGCCTCAAACTTCTTCAGCCACCCATCATCCGCCTCGGTCTTCCTGGGATGGAAACTGCAGCCAGCCCGAAGCCACAAATCACAGGCTTGAGTTGCCTTTTGCCACTTACCGTTCTTTAAACAAATCTCATATTTCCACAGCTTTCTCTGGGTTTTCGCAAATATTGTGGAAACAAGGCTCCTTAAGAAGAATGGGAAGTGCATGTCTAGACACTGACACACCGACACACACACACACACCAATACTAGTATACTAGATTCCCATTGCCTCCCATTGTCTGTGGCGTGCTCGGAACACGGATCAAAGGCTTTTGGAATCTGCTTCCAGAGAGGGCGAAGGCGGCGCAAGCTCCGGCTCGCTCATGCCCGAGAAAGCCAAACAAAGTGACGTGTCTCTCAAACGGGATCAATACCTCTGGTTTACAAGCTGGGTTTTGAGCTCAAAATGGAGCCTTTTCCCTCCCCCCTGGACTTATCAACTGGCATTCGCCCGCCTCGAGTGTCAACATGCTAAAACATCATCACGTCATTCTCCGCTTTGCCCAGCCATTGAGGAATGGTTTCACTGGAAGTCTTGAATGAAGAGGAAAGTGAGGAAACCGGGTAGGACTCCTGCGGCAGGACCTCATGAAGGCGAAGAAGGCTGCGCGTTCAGATCAATCAGCCGAGTGGCGGTGCTGCGGCGGAGCCATGAGACTGGCAGTAGCTGGCGCACCAGCCACGGTCATCGCAGATCTGCAGAATGCCTCCCATGGTCGGCCCAAAACTGTCACTGGTGGCGGTTCTGAAGTTAAGGTAGTAGAAGTTGCCCCTTTGCTCACGGCACAAATTGAATATATCACGTCTGTTCAATTTTGTTGGTTTGCAATGTAGCCTTCCTTTGCTCATACGTTCCCTGAGAGCACGCCATGAACTGCGAGCCGTTACCTGAATGTTAAGCCGGTTTGGGAACTAACTTTGAGTGTTGTTAAAGCAGCCAGACCGGCACTTCAGTGCCAAACTGGTTCAATTGAGGCGAAGGGGATGCAACCCAGCTCAGATCTCAGTTTTGCAGCTGAGTGCAATGGGAGGACTGTTCCAAGTCGGCCGAATCCGCGGAGCCAAATAAGGCCGACCACCAGCCGATCACGCATTCACCCACCCGGCTCACCAGCCAACAGCCCAATCGGAAAACCACGAAAGAAACAACGCTCTGTGCAGCTGCGGCACTTTCTGCAGCTGACCGGCTAAGGCCTCAGGGCGCATGGATTGCTATCTCCGACGCGTGTCGGACTCTCCGTCTGGTGCCTCGGGACAGCAAGATCTTCTCCCCTGCGCCGTCCACCAGAGCTGCCTGAGGGCGTGTCCAACCTACTGGCGTCGCACACCGCTGAAGAAGTCCTCTCTGTTACCCTTTGGATGAGGGGGCTCTGGATCTGAATGGGAACGGAAGGGACGGTTATTAAAAATAAAGCATTGGTACATCAATATAATGGGTCCCAAATAAATGATATTGATGATGACCCCCCTTGCGGGGCAAGATTTTGAGCAGGCAGTTATGTATACTGTATTGGCTTGGCTGCCCCGTGTTCAGGTCAGCAGCTTCCGCCAAACTATATCAGGACGGTGCCAAAAACGGGGGAGACCTTTCAAAATGGTCGGTTTCCTGTATGTTTCCCCTGCAACACAATCCTAAAGGGCTTGCCAGGCTTAGGACACCGCAGTATCCGACTGAAGAAGCGTCCCCAAGTGTACGTTCCAAGCCCAAAGCCAATATGCGGATCACCGTGACGTAGGCAAACAAAACCTATGATTGCTGGCAAAGGAGAACACACAAACCTCATGATCATCGTGAAAAGAAACGCTGTGCACCTCACACGACCTAATCTTCCACACTCTCCGAAGCATCCTCAACCCACCACATATCGTGGAGACCCCCACGACGTGGTGCCACTCAAAGAATTCAGGATGTTGACCATCTAGCGAGTGGTAGAAACACTGAGCGCAACGAGGACATTTGGTGTTAACTTCCGTGGCGTGCACGCGCAGGTGACCAATCAAGCTCATCTTATTCGGTTGAATGCCACTGAAAATAACAAATCTACCTTTTGGTCTACCGTAGGAGGGCTTCTTGGGTTGTGAACTCAAATGGCAACCTGCCGCCAACACCACCCCTCCCTCGATTCGGAGGCGCGCAGGCCCCGTTGAAGCACACTGCTGGCACTGGCCGAGGCAGGCCCAGTTGCTCCACGTAGGCCTCTCCAGGCGCTCAGCTGAAAGCATGGGCCCGCCAGCACCCAACTGCTTGTTCCCAGGTCCAAAGCCAGTGCTGTCCAAAAACAACAAAATTCCATGGGACGCGGCTGGCTTCTCACAAAAGTCACACACACACACACGGCTGTTTTTCCGATGCTGCGCGGGCCTGCACAGAGATGAGAGGCCGGCCTGTTGCCAGGATCACCTGTACCTGAGCGGGGAACATCCTGTGAAGTGTGCAGTTGGCGAAATAGGTTGCAAACACCAGGGTTGGCAGCCGTTTCAATGACTTTTTATTGTGTGTGTGGGGGGGGTGGGGGCAAAAATGGCTGCCACCATTTTCCCACTGCCTGCAATAGGGAATCATGTTTTTTGCAGCATGCTGGCTCACCTTATGGTGCATCAAGTGACACGCACCCTGCAAATTCCACAAAAAAATATATATCTGTATGTAAGAGATTCGTTGCGGCAGAAATGTCTGCCGCAAATCAAAAAAGGCGCCTTTTTGGATTTGCGGCATTTCTTCCTGATTTGCGGCGTTTTTTTAGAATTGCGGCAGAACTTGTTTTCAGTTTTTTCTACCCCCTGATTTGCGGCGGAAATCGGTGGGAATGCGGCGGAAATCGGCGGGAATGCGGCGGAAATTCCCGGAAAGCAAACGGTGTTGCGGCGTTTTTGTTTTGGTTGCGGCGTTTTTGTTTGTTTGCGGTTGACTTTCTGGAATGCGGCGGGAATTTCCGCCGCAATGCATTGCGGCAGAAATTTCCGCCGCAGGAAGTTCCATATATGCGCTTTCTTCCAAAAATTGCTTCAACATGTCAGGCATTCCCTCATGCCCGAGCCCTCTGATAAAGGCATGTGTGTCACCATGCACTGTCACCTCGCCAGCTCCTTGGCTAATGGGGCAACAGCTTGTGACCATAGGCGCGCCACCATGAGGAAGCCCCAGTAGCTCTGTAGCCACTGGAGCAAGCACAGGGGTTGGGAGGGGAAGAGCCCAAACTGCCAGCAACCCCAAAATTCGTGAGTTGACTGAGAGCACATCGTTGCAAGTTGGACATGACCAGCAGACGCACTGGGCGCATTCATGGTTACCCTTTGACTGGCATGTCGTTTCATCGGCCGGCATCAGGATTGAGTGCCGTCTTTGGAAGCCAGCAGGGAGTCTTGCATACCTCGCCACCGAAGAACTGAATACAAAATGATAGGCCCAAGAGGGCTGGTGCGCACCTCCTGGCTCTTTCGAAAAAAAGGTACTCATTGCAACTCAAAATCACTCTTGTTCAGGGCAAACTGTTCAGGGCTAACCTGCCCGTCACGCAAACAGAGTTGCCCTGCGCGGCGTCGGGTTCCAGTGCCACCCAGCGAACTTGAAAACAAAAGGCCAAGCTTGTAGAACCTTGACAAAACATTAAGCAAAAGGGCAAATCCAGCACCCCCCAATGGCTGCCCAATTGCAGGCACATCGATTTTGGGCAAAACGATGTCACTTTATGTCTAAGTGACTGCAAAAACAATTTGCTATCAAGTATCACTCATGTGTACTTGTGCAATGATACAAGTGACCTTCCAGGGTCCTTTGGGGGGGGTTGCAGGGGAAAGGTGAGGCTGGCAAATTTGAGGTTTGGGTTCGGAGGGCGTGTCGGGGGGGTGGCCAATTGCCGGCACATGTACGTTGAACGGTCACTTTTTGGTGTGAGCGTGTCACCAGCGTGTCGCCCCCCCCCCCTTCCCCCCCTTGCGCGTTGCATGTGCAATGATCACACATGTCAGCCCAACCCCTCAACTGGATTTACGCTGGTATCCTGAAGCGACGCTTCAACACAAGTGACCTTTCACTGCACTTTGACACTTTGATGATGGCAAAACATATATGTGAATACAAAACCATTTTTAAGCAAGTGCTGGTCAATTGCCGGCACTTCACCCGGGACGCCAATTACTGGCCATTGGGGTGGGGGGGCCTGGATGAGAAAGTTCTATAGAAACAGCAAACTACAAGCACAAATTTCACAAAAACCACCAACCGAAATTGCGCAGCCGAACATGGGCAAACATAGACTCTCAGCCTTCCCGCACCCTGTAGCCAAGCAGCTCCTGTGGCCTCCTCGGTGTTGGCCAAGCGGAAATCGCATCAAACGCAGCAAGCAAAGTGGGAAATACGGGCTATATGCCTTCCTTAGCTGTTACTTGCTGGCTTTCGTCAGCCCCCCTTGATGTTGATTCCCAATCACACAGTGGACGCTGCCTAAGCGCATCCGATCATGACAGCGGTGGACACCCATTTCACCCAGGATGTGTCGACTTCGAGGACCACGCAAAACGTGGACTGAATTAAAACTCCTCAAGAAACATCAACTGAATCCATGCCAAAAAGTGGGGAATAGGAACTGAGACCTCGCAAACGAAACAGGTACAATCTACGGGCGGCTGTTGGCCAATCCCAATCCACAATCCCGAAAGGGAAACCAAACAAAAGCGACCCTTTTCGTGACCCAAGCGTAAGGATACCGGATTACCTCTGAACAGTCCAGCTCAGTGGTTGAACAACTTCCTCGTGTGCGTGACAAGGCTCCACCTTCCGTAGGGCCGCCAGCGTCCGCGGTGTCAAGGCATGGCTGCTGTTCAGCGTGGTGCCATCCAAATCCAGGGCCACGGCGCGAAATGTCCGGAGGGCCCTCATGGCCGAGGCTTCGGCAACTTAGGCTGCAAGCGCTGTTTGGACAATGTTCCTGCGTCTTGGCTGAGCGCCAAATCATTCTCTCAGCTCTTATTTATATGAGTCACTTGTATCTTACAACTCATCAAGCCAAATTCAGCTGCGTTGCGCAATAGTTTTCCTCAAAACAACCATCGGCTCGTTAATTAGTTTCTAGGCCCATTCGCTTTTTGTAATCATCGTACACACGTGTTCTTGGCCGAACCGTTCCTTCAACCAATGTCCCAATGCGTCCGCCATCACACAAAAGTGCCCTGCCGAGCTGGTTATGAACCCATTGCGTGGAAAGGTCTTGGCTTGGCCACTTCTCCTGCCCTTCCCTCTGCCCAGTCAGAGACGTGCCTCCAGAGTGAAGACCTGCCGCGCCATTCTCGTTCTTTCGTTTGCATTCTTGCTGCTTTGGTTCATTGCTTGGGTTGCCAGTTTGGGACTTTGTTGAGATCCTGGCTTCGTCCTGGCATGCGTCATCCTGCGGAGGGCCTGTGCTCACTTGGCAGTAAACCGAGTGGACTGGGTGGTTCTTTTGTTGCTTTCGAAGAGGTCCTTGTCTTGAGTCGAAAGCCGACTGAGGCATCAAAACACAGAATGTCGTAATTGAAAAGCAACATACTCGCCTTGGCCCCCAGGGGAGGGAAGAGGTCAAACCTCTCTTTGGACCGTAGGGATCTTCCCAACCCCTTCCGGCTGAGGCGAGTTCCGGACTACGGCCAGGCGAGTTCCGGACTATGGCCCCTTGCCCTTGGACAGCCACTCCCCAACCCTTAGTTCCTTGTGCCAGGCTGTGGCTGTCCTCCAGTGCCAAGCGGATACTTTCACGCAGCTGATGCTTTCACGCATCAACGTCGTTTCTTGCCAGCTGCCCAGCTGCCCCATGCCTGGCACTAGTTAGAACGGAGATCAAACAAAGTCTCTAATTCAAATAGACCCTGGCCGAGGTGGGGAGGGCGAAGAGTTTACAATTCTTCTGCCGTGAAATACAAAGTAACTGAACACACATGAGATTTATGCAAAGCGTCTCTGGTACAGGGATGCTTTCCAGCATCGCATCAAATACCAAGCCCTTCATGAGGTGAAACATCCAGTCTAGTTCAAGGGCAGGCTGCCCCTACTATCCAAACGGTTAACCAAGCGATCTGGACACTGCGTGGCTTGCTGCCCTTCAAAGGAACTTAAAATGATGCCCGACTTGGACAAGCAATAAGGGTTTGTCGGCAAACGGTGCACCAAAACAGTTTAGTGGGTACTGGAACTCCATGTACATGTAGAAAAGGGGAGGCACACTTTACAACCTGGAGTCTTGATCCTGATAGTTTCCACGTGCCAAAAGTATAAATTTCTTGGCTCACTAAGTACAAGGACAAACACAAACTCACCAAGGATCCAGACACAAAAGCAAGAATCCCTCCTCTGGGGCCTTGACAAGCATGGAGCACATGGGGGAACAATCATCAAAAGATTCGCTTTGGACAACTGAGCCGCACTGGCTCAAAATCAAAATGTCTAAGTTCATGGGGAACCCACGAAGCACAAAGGGATGAGGGCGGAATCCAGAACGTCGTGCATGACATGAGCTCGGCTGATTTCTTGCACTTGGCTTTTCGGTCGAGCGGGTTCGGGGCTTGTCGACGAAGTCCTTGAGATGCAGCCAAAGGTCCGCCGGGCCACCTGCAGGGCCAATCTTGCGGACTATTGGGCCTTCCCCTTGTTTAAACCTCCCTTTCGTTTTCACAGTTTTGTTTGAAGTACCTCCCTTTCGTTCTGAGGGGCCCAGTCCCCAACCCTGAGAACCCCAAGAGGTTGAAGCCACATGCACGCTCCCCCAAACCAACAAGAGGTGTGCGACTAATGGCAACGGTTTGGCCACAATCATCTTTCATACACGTTCACACTGCAAAACCGCAACCGCCTGAAGCTATACTACTAGCAAAGAAAGCGGCGGGCGCACTAATCATCTGGACTTTTCCAAAGTTTACTGACAACTTCCCACAACTTACAAGCCAAAAGCATCCATGCAGGTTGATTCAGGTTCAGTTGCTCCTTCACTCAGTCCTTGCTTCCCAGTGAAACGCAGTTTTGGAATGAATAATGAGAACCACAAGCCTACAATAAGCTGCCATGAAATAAAGAGTTTCCACCGATTGCTGATTCATCACGATTCATCACAATTCACCACAAATCGTCACCGGAAAGATCGTCTTGCTCCCTGGCCTACACTATGTTTCATGTAGGCCTTGCAGAACTTTGGTGTGGAAGTTCTCCCTCAGAAAGCTGCATCCAATGGATCCTGTTTCCCGCTATAGGCGGGTACTAAGCAACACTGCCATGCAAAATCGAACGGTTCAACTCGTGGCCAGCTGCTAGAGTGGTAACCTGGCTCCTCTGGCTGCGACAGGTTCTAGGAGGCCCTGAATTTTCATGCCTCTCCCTTTTTGACTCCGCCAGACCTGAAACGGAGTGCAAAAGCGTAACCTGGCCGGCCACTGCGTAGCCTTCATCTCCTGGCCACCTGTCGACTCCCGCAACGAGATACAAGTGAACGGAATGGGGGGGCTGCGCTATGACTTTGATGGTTGGATAGTTGCCATTTTGAGGATCCTCTCCTTCAGTAATTGCAGCTCGGTTCAAATTATTTGGCCTCACCATGACATCTGTTTCCACCCAGGTTTGAGGATTGACCAGCCCCAAAGGTCCACATTTGATTGGTCGAGGCAGGTTCCACACAAGCCTAGCAGCCTGGCCTCTTTCTCCTACTGGAAGTGCACTGGAAAAAAGTAAGGTCATACAGACCCTCATGTCAGCTTCCATGAGTGCATGATTGTAGGGCACAAGTACCTAAAACGTGCTGTCCTGTGGAACCAAAGCCACAGCACCCAACTGACCACACGATGCCAGGCTGAAAGGGCCGGTCCTACCCTGCATGGGTTGCAATCCTAGAGCTCACGGCGGTACCTGGACATGCAACAGGTGGACTAGCCGAACCCTTTTCGAACCCAAGGACTGCGCGCAAAAAGGTTTGCCCTTAAAAACTTTGCAACTATTTACAGAACCAGCATGATCCTAGGGCCATCGCTCTGGAAATTAAGATGATGTTGAGGCAAAGGCCACAGCGGGCCTAGCCTAGGATCAGACTTAAGGCTGTGCAAGAGGTCGATCAGACCATGGACTGGACCCTCTTCAAATTCGATGTCGTCATGCTTCCCCAAAAAGCGAAGAACACAAAATCGAAGAGCAAGGGGGCTTGACACTTTTTGAAACTGACCACCCGGCCTGAGGTGCCAGTTCTGAAACGTCTTGTAGGCCCCTTCCTCCTGCAGCAGTCCTTTGTACTTCAAGGTCTGGGAGCGGATGGTCTCCCAGTCCGTGGGACGCACCAAGGCGCGCAAAGAAGGCATGCGGGGCTCCTCCAGGCTGAGAGGGATGGTCCACTTTTGGCACAAAGATATTCACTTAAAGATATATATGGTTGTTGTTCTAAATTCCTTTGTCTCGAAACGGCCATTCTTCGCGAATAAAAAAGTTACTTTCGCGAATCTTTCGCGGATTCATCGCCGTGCCCTTTTCCTTGCTCAAGTCAGAAAATCGCTGATTTTAAGTGCCAGCGTAGTGCGCGAAATTCGATTCCCCAACTCCCGCTGTAAAGTCGCAACTTTCATCACAGGGGTAGTACATGACATGCACGGCCTGGAAGACGCAGCTTTTCGTAAGCCGTGCAGCTCCAGCTTAAAGTCGCAACTTTCCAGTACCAAGCTGGTATACTGACAAGCGCGGCGCTCAGAAAGTACCTCCCCCTTACAATCGAAGCCGCTTTCGCGGGGGCTTTCGCGGATCTTTCACGGAACTTTCGCGAAAAACCACCCACGTTTCAGAGCGGAAAGGCGCCGAGTAAACACCCACAGGCACACATACACAGGCTTGGGGCACTAACCAGCCAAGCAGGGTATCAAACTGTAGCCTCACCGGGCTTTTTCGGCGCAAAATCAACAAAGTGTTGTAATCAGCGCAGAAGGAAGGCTCAGCAGCAAAGATGAATGGTTTCACATATCATTGATTTACAAGACACAGTTACGCAAAACTTTCGCGAGAAAAAAAGTTACTTTCGCAACTCCATCGCGAATCTTTCGCGGAGCTACCTCAACCAACACCGATGGTCACCGAATACTAAACTCCTTACAAGGACCTTTAGAACGACTCCCATATATATATATATATATATTCACTTATATTCACTTAAACCACTCAATCGGAAAGAAGAGGGTGGGATGGTTTCCCTTTGGCTTCCCCGAGACAGCCAGCCATCCAGCAAGGGGTCCCAAATGCGCTACACAACTTCCGATGTGTCACGCAATACCTTACCCTTTCCGGTTGTTGCAGCGCTGAGTCAACAAGTCGGCTCGCGCTGGACCAAACCATGATTCCCTCATCCTTGCGCCCTTGCGCACTGCGCTCAGCTTGGCCGAGCAACTGGCGCAGCCTCCCGGTCATGTGACTCTTGGCCCGCGCCAGCTTCCGGTTACCCAAGAAAAGAAGACAATTGAATGATTCTGATGATGGTGATGATGACGACGACGAGGAGGATGATGGTGATGATGATGACGACGATGCCCCCCCCTGCAATGGACAATTGAGCACACCCTGGCAAGTGCTCCTGCGCGGGGTCCTTGCAGTCAAAGCGAAGGTGCGCCTGCTTCACATCCAAGAACTGGGTGGAGGAGTCCAACAGCAGACTCAGCTCCTTCGCACTTTAAACCCCTCCAACTCGGCGGTTTCAATTCTTTTGCTAGTGAACATTGTAAAATTGATCTCAAAAAAAGGGGACTTTCCTAGTCTCTGGGACTGTGACCTAAAAGCCATACCTGGTCCTATGAACTGGCAGATGCGACTCATGATCTATTTCAGCATTTGGCATTCGTGACCAGCTGCCATACATTCTGATTGCCTGAAAAAGCTCGGGCGCTCTATGGTTGGCATGTTGGCTCCCGTAGAATGGGCAAAGCAGGGGCATTTCGTGTTCCAATCGTTTTGACGCATTCCCATTTGTTGTGTGCAGAGACACCGTGGTCGCCCCGATTCCAGAGTTTGCTTCGGGCAGGTTTCTTGCGCAAGCGAATGGAACTGGCGGCCCGTAGAACCTGACAGACCTGCGTTTGCAGCGAACGAGGGGACACTATGGCAGGGTAGCGACAGTCAGCATTGGCCAAAGTGCCTTTAACCGGGCAACATGCGGAGAACTGTGTCACTTGCCCAGTGCTTACATGTGGTAGGGGGCATTGACAGTGACAAACATGCATAGGGCTACGTGACAGTATTTTCCTTGTGTGGCGAATTCTTTGTAGCATGTGGCTCTCCGAGAGTAGAGATACTCTGAATGTCTAGCGTTGGTCGCGCAAAAGAGGAACAACGGCAAACAGGCTAAGTCTTTGCTAGTTTGTTCTGACAGGAGCTCTAGTCGTCCCGTATGCATCCCCCGCCCCATAGAAAACACATACTATTGCATCATTACTATCACTTCAGTGACCAATAAAGAGAAACTTATGATGCATCCTGATGGTAAGTCGTGATACGTGTTGCGTATCTATCTCTGGTAAGCAAGCAGGGGGTGTGGTGAAAACGTGAACGGTGTGACACTCAGCGGCAGCAGTTCTCAAAGTGTTGGTACGCTTTGGGGTTGGTACCCCTCGCTAGGACATCCATCTCACTAAGAAGGAACCTGGTGGAGGGTCCATAGAAACATGGACCTTTCCTCAAGTTCGATGTAGGTTCCTTGACTTTTCAGGAGGATAGAGAACTGGAAGACGCTTCGATTTCTTCCGACGGAATCGAAGTTGCTGTGGATTTGACTCTTTGACTCTGGAAAACAAAACGCCCCTTCGGAGTTCCAAAGTGCAAATGGCACCTCTGCACAAACCCGCTCCCCCAATTTGCTTCGATTCACTCCCGGCCTGCAGGTCCACCAACGCTGGGGGCTCCAAGGCGCTGAATCCGCAGGAGGACTCGGCGGCCGCGGCGCTCAGCGGCGCCAGGTCCGCGTCCGGCGAGGCACGGAGGTCCGTGTCCTGGCGGGGGGATTTCCATGGGAAGCAAGGCACCCGTTTTGGGTTGGTGTTTTTTGAAGGGTAACCCCTTCCCCAAAAAAGGAAAGGGTGCCACCAGATCCTTGTGTATGTCTCCTATAGTTGTCCTACGTTTGGAGCGGGTTTGACTTTCAACACGCTCGTGGCTTGTGGGGCTTTGTTCACAGAGAATACTTTGGCTCCCTTTGAGGATGATCTTGTTTATGGTTGAACTTATTGTGGAGGTGTGAACTCCAATCTAGCAGGCAGAAACCGGTCAGTTTTCCTCAAAAACCGGACGTCAAACTCCCCAAAGCGAAGAAACCGATCAACCCCCTCATCCGAAAGGAACCGGTCAAATTCCTGCACATTGCTGGCGGCCCAGCTGCGCGTTACAATTTGCATGGCATATGTGCAGCGCTGAGCGGGTGCGCTTGAGCGGTGTGCTCTGGCATGTGCAGTGCTGAGCGGATGCGCTTGAGCGGGGGTACTTACCATTCTAGCCCACCCAGAACTGGTCTGTTTAGCCGAAAAACTCTTGACCTTTCATTCTTGCTTGCCTTTTCGTGTTTGCTGCATCTGCAACTTTAAGTGTCTCCTCTATTCAGGGTAGGCCTTGGGCTAGGTATGACTTTGCTGGGCTCGTTCCCTCGTTGGACTTTGCTGTGGCATGTGCGCAGTGCTGAGCGGGCGCAGTTGAGCGGATGCTTACCATTTAAGGCTGGCGCACTTGAGCGTGCTTACCAGTTGGCTGTCGTGTGCGCAGTGCTGAGCGGGTGCATGGCAAAAACCCTGCAAACCATCGTGATATGTGAGCTGATGCTCAGTGTCATGAAATGCTGAGCACAGCAGCAAAAGTGCGAGCCTGAATCACCGCGCTATGGGGATTAAAACCCGAGGTTCTGCGCGTAAGCCCAACGGCGGTCCCAACAACAAATAACAACAAAACAACCCGAAGCCACGGCTTCCAGAACGAGCCTCGCGGCAGGCGAGCAGGTGGTAGGTCTCCCCGGCCTGGCAGGCGCGGTTTTATCGACCCCTCGCTGAGTGGATTGGTTGGAAACAGCCGGACTTTCCGTTTGCCACTAAAATGATCTTCACAAAACAAATCAAGGTCCAAATGCACACACGTCCTATTGGTTTGCCTTCAACGCATGGGGGTCAAACATGGCCAGTAGCTTGATAATTCAGTGGCACGAACGGAACAACCAGCCTGGGAACACGTTTTGGGGTTAGCAATTTTTAGTGGGTCCAGATGAGCTCCACTAAACAGCCGGGCTTCAGGGTTTGTGTTTAGCGTGCGATCGTCCAGCCTGCAGCACCGGCACATGAAAAAGGTCCACAGAGACCCAGATGTTGTTGGCCCCCCGCAAGGAGGCCCTCAAGCACCTGCAAATGCGCCACACTGTTCTGCTTTTGCCCGGGTTTGGAAACAGATCTTGGAGCGGGGTCCTGGAGGGTTCCTCAAGCAGCTTCCGGAGAGGTGCCGGTGCCTTGTACTTGTCCTTAGAAAACCATTCGTGGGGTTGGTGAAACAACGCCAGTTCCCCCATTGAAACAAAACAAATGAATGTCCGAATTGGTCGAAGGTTGACCATACATGCTCTCCGAATTTCGGAAAGTAGTACATTGATGGAGAACCGGAAGGAGCCATTTTCCCCGGACTTGCATCGAGTATATCCCAGCTGATTGGTTGTCGCCCCACCTTGGATTTGGCAAGCTTTGGTATAGTGGAGCCTCGGCTCATCTGAAATTAGCTGGGCTAAGCCCAGTGTAGGGCTTTGACCAAAACTCCCCTTGAAGTACTCCCAGCCCCAATTGGCCGGCTGCCAGCTTGCCAACGATTCCATCAATGTGAAAGGCAACCGGGCAATCATTACTAGTGTTGGTTGTCGCACCCAACTCTTGATGAGGCCAACGACATTTCCAAGCCGCTGGGCACGAAACCAGTGCGTTCACGCTTGGATCCACCATTTCGTCTGCAGCTTTTCTTGAGAACCGAACGCCAAACTTGTTGCAACATCCAAGGCCCTGGGTCAGTAAAGTGGGACAAGTTGGTTTGCGGTGCATCTCAACTCACGCGCAGTCAAGGCTGACGTCAAATGAGGGAAAACGAAGGACTTTCACCGGGGTGCAACGCTGACCTGGCGCAAAGGGGGATGTTCAGATCAGTTGAAAGTATGAGGTCGAAGGTCTCTAAGCCCGAGAATAAGAAACAGATGCCTGGCCTCACGTACCCTCAGTTAGCTTTTGGGGCCAGTAGGATTTGAGTTCAAACCTATGGCAGCTGCTTTCCACTTCGAGCAAGCGGAAAGAGAAGCAAACGGAAAGAGAAGCAATCGGAAGGACATAATTCAAGAGCAACACGTACCCACGCATATTCAAGGGTAACCAACAAGTCTGTTCATAGCAATAAGTGAGGGCAAAACAGATGTGGCCGGCAGAATGTGGGTAAGCTGCGAACGTATGTTAGCAATAAGAAGTGTCACGCCGTCATGTGGAGGCCGCTTGTCAGAGTGTATACGTGAACCACTTGATTGTGTTGACGTAGCCAAGTCCCACTGCTTGTTGCATCAGCCCGTGGGTCCAGTTGAAACACATTTATCTGGTCTTCTTGCCGTCAAGGGATGGATGGGACAAAGGGCGCCAGGAATGAAGTACATAGACCTACTCACAAACACGCTTGCCAACAAAGCATCAAACCTGATCTTTGCTTCAAAGGGCCCGACACTTTCACAGCATATTAATATTCTGTTTGACCAAGCCCAAGGTGACCGACTTCGTTCCCACGAAACGACTGGCAGTTTGAGTTTTGCCGGGTCTTGCACCGCTCTCGCAGGAGTGGGGCTTTTGATCACTTCGTTTATCTTGGGGTGGCCTAGCCGGCTGAACCCCACACTTCACCCGGGAACTTCAACCCCCGGGGCCTATGGTCTGGTGTGGTAGATTCACTTCAAACGTAACATGGGGGCAGTGCCTGGAAGTTCTTCAGGTCTCTCAAACCGATTTGCCGTCCGAAACCAGGCCTGGGCAAGCCGTCCAAGCCCTCCTGTGCTTCTAGCGTGGACTTCTGCAGGAACTCTTTGAAACCGGGGCGCTCCCGCGCGTCCAACAATTCCTCGAAGTCTCCTAAAACGGTGCTCATAGATTTGAACGAATAGACCCCAGACAAGGCAACCAAACGGATCATCTTCACCAAGCACCATGCCTTAAGACGTATGATGCGGCATGCCGTTGATTGTACCCCATCCGCCAACAAAAAAAAAAAACATCAAAACTGACGAGGCAGTCCACTGGAAGTCCACATTTCCTTTGAGAACACCATCTGTCCGATTTCCAATAAATGGGTGGGGAAATCCTCAACACCAGGGTGGCTGGCCAGTGGCTGGCGTGCTGATGCTCCACACCATCTTCAACCGTCCATCCCGAACAGGACTTTTTGAGATGCACAAGGGAGGGTAGCCTGTATCCAACTATGAAAAGGATACCAACCTGTTCTTCCAAGGCTCGCCCCTGGTAGGAGCTGTTCGACAAAAGCAAGCGTTGCAAACACTGGGATGGCATGTGGATTTGCATCTGGTTGTCCAACAAGATGTCACCATCACATACTCCACGCAGTAGCCTGCTACAGGAGTTCAGCATCAACTCGGTGTCGACGGACTCCAGGAGAATTTCCAGGCGGGAGAGGAGGAGAAATTCCAGGATGGCACACGCGAACGTGGTGAACACGGCCAAAAACAGCTCACGCATCAGCCAGGCTGGGGTTGGGCGCAGCGCAATCAGACTGGCAGACATCACAATCTGCCAGGGAAACGCCAGCCTCGAACGAACAGAAACAGCAGAAACAAGGAATCGGCTCCCAACCATGATGCCATCCAAAGCCCAGTCCTCTGAGCCACCTTGCTGCGCGGTTGCAATGTACACTACCGCTAAAGCGAAGTGCATAAAGTGGTGGATCATCATGTGCCAGAATGCAGTCAGCTGCACCATCTCGTTTGCCACCGTTACAAGCATTGGGTAAGAGAATAACACTGCCGCGAGCGCAATGCCACTGCTCACGCTGTTTTCCCTTTCAAATATGTAGCCCAAATATAGCGCGAATGCCCAGGTTGCGTGCACGCCGACGAACCGCATCGCCACGATGAGCACGCGGCTCCGACTCTCTGCTACGGCTTGCGCCGCAATGGTTTTGCTCTCACGCCCAGGCAACGCTGAAAATCGAAGCCAGGCGTCCGCGTCCAGGGAGAAGTGAGAGCCACATAATTTCAAATGGATGGCAAAGAAAACGACGGCAAGCGACCACATTGTCTGAACATCAGCCATGAGACAGCCTTTCGCTTGGAACGTTGTTTCAAACAACCCCGCGCGTGCAGGCGTTTACCTGGAAGCGATCTCTAGGAGTCGCTGCCTGAGAGAGGAAAATGCAAGACCTACGATCTTCATGCTGACTTAGCATCATCAAACGCCACTCGCATCCTTCCCTCTCAGCCCCTTGGTGAACCTGATTTACAGTGCAATCATTTTGAGGGTCCCCCCCCCAAAAAAAGAAAAACAAACACAACTCACCGCGGGAGCATCCTTGGAAGAAACTCCACTAAAAACACAGACACACATTGTTGGGCAAGTGGTTTGGGGGTGGTGGAAATCTGGCATTTGGTAAAATCACGTTGGCTACGACCCGATTTTTAGAATGCATGGGAACAAACATGGGTTCACACTGACAAACAAACAATACTGACAGCAAACGTACCATCATTATCCACCTGACTTAGACAAATAACCTAAAATAGCGCGCGCCTTCAATCATTAGGATTCTCCACTTAGCAGGCAATGCCCTAACTAACGTGTTGTACGAGCGTAAGTCAACGGAAGCTCCGTCCCTTTTGGAGTACAACGGTACAACATGTGATGAAATGAGGGCAAATGAGGCGTCGAAGGCAACTAACCCAGCGGCTGACAGGCGAGCTCCGTATTTGTTTGGCTGATGTCACAAACTCTCGCACAAACAGGTTATCCTTGCTGCATCGAATGGTAGTTGCGATCTTGAGTGTAAGCTTTGGTTGGCTTTTTCTGGGCTGACTTGCCCCTCCAAAAGCGGCTAGTCCTGCATGTTCTTGCCTGAACAACTCTGCCGACTCAGGACAGCTTCCACACCTGGTTCCCAAATAAATGCAACTATTCGGCATGTCTCCCACGTCACACTCCCAAAACGTTCGCTGCGGAACCTACCTTGTCGACCTTCTAAACGTCCTGAAGGTTCTCCGCTGGTTCTTACCTGGCTGTGCTGCTTAGGACATCACCAGTGAAAGGAGGGGTCACAGCGTTATATCACAGAGCCCTACAGCCAATCCATGTCAAAAGTGCTGGCCTTGTATTGTTGCTCACTTCTAAGAAAGAAGGGGCGCAACTAAAAAACAAGTTGGACAAAGGGGGTGCCACAACTGGGTTTGGACATCAACGCGCCACAACGTTGTTCAGCCACGGCCAAGTGAGGCCAAGTGTAGGGACCTTCAGGCAAGTAAGTGGGCTTCCAGGTCAACTACGATACAACCCCCAATAAGACAACATTTTGGTGAATGATGGGACGAACCCGTCATTTACCCCAATGTCGTTGGAACATGCTCCGCGGACGGCCGTGGCGTATTCTCCATGTTTTATGATTATTGTCGGATGGACGTGCTGGTTTTGGGTGTGGGGGGACAACTCCGTTGTGACGGCCACGATTGGTCATTATTTGCTCGGCACATGCTAATCAGGTTGCCAGCCTCTTGTCCTTGGACTTGTCTTGACGAGCTGCATCACCACCATTACAAAATGATGCACCGCGTTCGAAGAGCGTGACATGCTTTCCATGGCGCGTGTACCTATTTTGCCCAACTCCACTTGTAGGCTTTTAAATCTCTGGCCACCCACCTGGTAGAGTGCATGCATCACTTCAACGGGGGGCGGTGAAGGGGAGTGTGCTGGCATCATTGTGAACAGGAGCCAAGCTCACGAACCACACGAAACGGGCCGAGGGGATCAAGGGAGCAAAATCTCACCCATTGCTGATACCTCAAGTGCTTCTGCTGATGTGTTTGGGCAGCGAACCCAGAAGCCCACCTAAAAAAGGCCCCACACACACAAACACACGCACACAAACAAACAAACAAACAAGCAAGCAAGCAAGCAAGCAAGCAAACACACAACCACACAAACACACAAACAAACAAACAAACAAACAAACAAACAAACAAACAAACAAGCAAGCAAGCAAGCAAGCAAGCAAGCAAGCAAGCAAGCAAGCAAGCAAGCAAGCAAGCAAGCAAGCAAGCAAGCACACAAACACACAAACAAACAAACAAACAAGCAAGCAAGCAAGCAAACAAGCAAGCGAGCAAGCAAACAAACAAACACACAAACAAACACACAAGCACGCAAGCAAGCAAGCAAGCAAGCAAGCAAGCAAGCAAGCAAGCAAGCAAGCAAGCAAGCAAGCAAGCAAGCAAGCAAGCAAGCAAGCAAGCAAGCAAGCAAGCAAGCAAGCAAGCAAGCAAGCAAGCAAGCAAGCAAGCAAGCAAGCAAGCAAGCAAGCAAGCAAGCAAGCAAGCAAGCAAGCAAGCAAGCAAGCAAGCAAGCAAGCAAGCAAGCAAGCAAGCAAGCAAGCAAGCAAGCAAGCAAGCAAGCAAGCAAGCAAGCAAGCAAGCAAGCAAGCAAGCAAGCAAGCAAGCAAGCAAGCAAGCAAGCAAGCAAGCAAGCAAGCAAGCAAGCAAGCAAGCAAGCAAGCAAGCAAGCAAGCAAGCAAGCAAGCAAGCAAGCAAGCAAGCAAGCAAGCAAGCAAGCAAGCAAGCAAGCAAGCAAGCAAGCAAGCAAGCAAGCAAGCAAGCAAGCAAGCAAGCAAGCAAGCAAGCAAGCAAGCAAGCAATCAAGCAAGCAAGCAAGCAAGCAAGCAAGCAAGCAAGCAAGCAAGCAAGCAAGCAAGCAAGCAAGCAAGCAAGCAAGCAAGCAAGCAAGCAAGCAAAGCAAGCAAGCAAGCAAGCAAGCAAGCAAGCAAGCAAGCAAGCAAGCAAGCAAGCAAGCAAGCAAGCAAGCAAGCAAGCAAGCAAAGCAAGCAAGCAAGCAAGCAAGCAAGCAAGCAAGCAAGCAAGCAAGCAAGCAAGCAAGCAAGCAAGCAAGCAAGCAAGCAAGCAAGCAAGCAAGCAAGCAAGCAAGCAAGCAAGCAAGCAAGCAAGCAAGCAAGCAAGCAAGCAAGCAAGCAAGCAAGCAAGCAAGCAAGCAAGCAAGCAAGCAAGCAAGCACAAACAAGCGCAAGCAAGCAAGCAAGCAAGCAAGCAAGCAAGCAAGCAAGCAAGCAAGCAAGCAAGCAAGCAAGCAAGCAAGCAAGCAAGCAAGCAAGCAAGCAAGCAAGCAAGCAAGCAAGCAAGCAAGCAAGCAAGCAAGCAAGCAAGCAAGCAAGCAAGCACAAGCAAGCAAGCAAGCAAGCAAGCAAGCAAGCAAGCAAGCAAGCAAGCAAGCAAGCAAGCAAGCAAGCAAGCAAGCAAGCAAGCAAGCAAGCAAGCAAGCACAAGCAAGCAAGCAAGCAAGCAAGCAAGCAAGCAAGCAAGCAAGCAAGCAAGCAAGCAAGCAAGCAAGCAAGCAAGCAAGCAAGCAAGCAAGCAAGCAAGCAAGCAAGCAAAAGCAAGCAAGCAAGCAAGCAAGCAAGCAAGCAAGCAAGCAAGCAAGCAAGCAAGCAAGCAAGCAAGCAAGCAAGCAAGCAAACAAACACACAAACAAGCACACAAGCAAGCAAGCAAGCAAGCAAGCAAGCAAGCAAGCACAAACAAGCACACAAACAAGCACACAAGCAAGCAAGCAAGCAAGCAAGCAAGCAAGCAAGCAAGCAAGCAAGCAAGCAAGCAAGCAAGCAAGCAAGCAAGCAAGCAAGCAAGCAAGCAAGCAAGCAAGCAAGCAAGCAAGCAAGCAAGCAAGCAAGCAAGCAAGCAAGCAAGCAAGCAAGCAAGCAAGCAAGCAAGCAAGCAAGCAAGCAAGCAAGCAAGCAAGCAAGCAAGCAAGCAAGCAAGCAAGCAAGCAAGCAAGCAAGCAAGCAAGCAAGCAAGCAAGCAAGCAAGCAAGCAAGCAAGCAAGCAAGCAAGCAAGCAAGCAAGCAAGCAAGCAAGCAAGCAAGCAAGCAAGCAAGCAAGCAAGCAAGCAAGCAAGCAAGCAAGCAAGCAAGCAAGCAAGCAAGCAAGCAAGCAAGCAAGCAAGCAAGCAAGCAAAGCAAGCAAGCAAGCAAGCAAGCAAGCAAGCAAGCAAGCAAGCAAGCAAGCAAGCAAGCAAGCAAGCAAGCAAGCAAGCAAGCAAGCAAGCAAGCAAGCAAGCAAGCAAGCAAGCAAGCAAGCAAGCAAGCAAGCAAGCAAGCAAGCAAGCAAGCAAGCAAGCAAGCAAGCAAGCAAGCAAGCAAGCAAGCAAGCAAGCAAGCAAGCAAGCAAGCAAGCAAGCAAGCAAGCAAGCAAGCAAGCAAGCAAGCAAGCAAGCAAGCAAGCAAGCAAGCAAGCAAGCAAGCAAAGCAAAGCAAGCAAGCAAGCAAGCAAGCAAGCACACAAACAAACAAACAAACAACCAAACCAACACACAAAGACACAAACAAACAAACAAACAAACTTTTCAACCTGCCCCTTAGGATGTTATATTCTATTAAGGAGCAAACAACTGTTTCTGGGGAGCACGGCACTGCAAAAGCTTGGCCACGGCTTTCTGCCCAAAGCCGGAAAATGGGAGGTGCACAGGGCCCGGGCCTGAAGAGGCCTTCTTCGCAGACACAAACCACTCATCTTGGAATGTTTGGGTATGACTGTGTCAATTATAATTAACGCTCATAGGTTATTAGCCAGTGCAAAGGCTGGCTATTGCACGTGCAAACGGAAAATGATAATTCATTCTTTGAGCTGTCCGCAAGCGGTCTGAAATTCTCTGTTCACCGATCCCTTTCGTGGACCACCCACATGGAGATGATGCAAAGTGCTTCTGAACACAAGGACCTCAAATATCTACTTGCAACATGCGCTCGTCCACTTTACTCGCAACACATTCTATAATTACCAAGTTGCCCTGGTCGCAGTGAAATCATACGGATTTTTTTGGGCCAACCCATCTTTTGTATGGAATCAGGCAGAATCAAAACTGGGCAAGCAATCTCCCGCTTGCTTGGGTCATCTACTGTCAACCAGACTGACTGAAAAAGGCGCCTATGGCTCCATCTCTCGTCTCAATCCCGCCTCTGATGACCTGCAGCTTCCTGGCCTTAAGTCCTTTACTTTCAGGCAGCCAGGAAACGTTGATGGATAGTCATTCAGCCGTCAGCTTGGGGCCTTGCCGAGACCTGGCAAAGCCCTCTGGGTTTGGGAATTTGATGTTCGATACGGTGCCTTGCATGTCCGGACAGAAGAGAAGTGAGGCAAGGGTGGCAGAAGGCTCCCCATTCCCATTTCCACAATTAAGGTGATATCAAAGCAGAAAGCAGGCGGCTCAAGTCCGACCTGACATGTCTGGGGATAGATTGGTCCATCCCAAAAAGGAGCTGTTCCTCGTATGACCCTCATGAGCCTGACCACTTGAGCTCAGAGCGCTCCGTTTCAACCCAATGCGCCTCGCAGTGGTGGTTGCTATGCACCCGCACGCTCAAAGGGCCTCGGATCGAACTCTTTAACACAGCTGTGCCCGAAACGCCAGACTTCAAAGGGCTGCAAGGGAACAAACAAAACCAACCAACTCACCAATTGGTTGCTCGGTGGCTAGGCTCCGTCTTCGCAAGGATGCGCTTACTTCATGCGTCGCAGCTTGATCTCCAAGCGGGTCTTATGCTTGCGGCAGGCGTCCATCTTTTCCAGGTCCACCTGAAGGGATCGCTTCTCCGCTTGTTCGCTGTGGTTTTTGCCGCCTTGGGACAGGGGCAGGTTTGGATCTGTCCCAATCCATCAAACAGCTTTTAGGAACAAACATTTGTGCAAGGTAGTGAAAGGACCACCCTGAGGTCCACTTAAAGGCTGGATGAGAGACCATGCTTCAAATCGCTCTCACAAGCAAACATGAATACAGGAAAATAGAGAAGGCACCCCCCCTTCAGCTTGATTTTGTGAGAGACCCGCCCTCTTGCATACCCTCAAATTTGCTGTGCTCCCCCAAACATTCGCTGCAGACAAGTTCTGATTTGGGCGGGATTCTGCGACCTTGGGACACCAACCGTTCTTGGGGATCCCTGTTTGCGGAAATCTGGACACACATCCATAATCACGTGAGCTGGTGAATTCTACTTTGCAAGCCCAGGCATATTTTGGGTGCTCCCCTACTGTCCTGCAGGTTAACATGTGTAGAGGAATATCGTTGGGGGGTAAGCACCCCGTTTTCTAAACAACCCATGTGAACCTGGGAAAAGCAAACGCCCCTTGATGTTGGACAAACCATCCTCTGAGCACACACACACATATATGCATATTGCATGAAAAGGTTAGGGCGTTATACACTGTTCCGTATTGCCCCCCCCTTCGACTTGCCTTGAAGGGCAGTCGCACTTGCCGCTGCCATCCGAGCTCCTCCCAGGTGAAGAGCAATTCCTTAGATGCCATGAAGTTCTTGGTCGTCAAATGGGTCTTTTTCTGAGGGTACCCTCAACCAAAGGAGGGCTATTTTAGAACACACCTAAATGAGAACACCCCTGCCGTGGCAGATACTTTGAAGATACCAGTGCTGCATCAGGTTTGGGGTGGGACTATCTTCAATTGTAACCTGTACTGGGAGGTCTAACAAACCTCAAACGGGAGATGACGGCCCCAAAAGAGGGGGGGGTTGTGTTGCCTTTGAAGCCGCCCCGTGCCGCAATAAATGTCGCAACCCCTGGGCAAAGGTTGTTTTCCCCTTTTGGGGGATGACTCAAAATGCATGGAGGCCCCAGCTCGAAGGCCAAAAGCCGCAAGCACCATGAGGCCACCAACGACCAAACACCCAAGGAACCCCGGGGCTGGGATCTCTTAGGCCGAGGCTCGCCCCTGGACGCGTGCACCTCGAGCCCATGTGGGCTACAGTGGGACCAGGCGGAGGGGAGCTCCGCGCAAACAAAGGCTTGGCCCTGGAAGGAGTAGACGCTCACCTGAATCTGCATGTATCCCTTGACTTACCCGGGTGTTGATTGTGGAACACCGGAGCTTCATTCGTACCTAGGTCTGACCACTTGGGTAAGAATTTGAATTGGGGGCCTTCTGGTGGATATATCATTTACATGGGGGTTTATGCCCACTAGCCACCTCACGCTCTTGCCCGAATCATTCAAAATATTATGACTCATCCTCAGGTAGTCGATACAGGGATCGATGGGATTTGTTTCAAGCCTCGCTGTCAGCAAATCTTAGGTCATACTAGCTACAAACAACATCTCACTGCTTGAAACGTCTTTTTTGAGCAACTCAAAGACCCTATGAAGGACCTGGTTGAATATCCATCTCACTTGCCCAAAACAATTGACGCAACCAAAGGACATGGTATGACCTGGCTGTATACTTCTCCGAAACAACATCGGTATGTCGTCAAAACATGGAACCCCAATTGAGCGGCGTTCAAAACAACGGCCTGTTCAAATCTAGGTCGTAAGGGGAACTCTGATGCAAATGAGCTTAAGCGAGCTTACATTCCTTACGATCCACGGTGCAGCACTTGCGCAACACACCTACACGGCCTTATGCCGCCACATGTTTGCCTTACGCAAGAGGGCCTTAAGACCATCCCCCCTTCAATCATAACGCACAGTATTTAGTCTTGAACCCTGCTCAATTGATTGGTTCCCTAAACCGTCCAACTAAAATGCGTCTTTAGTTTCAATCTTTGAAGGGATTGGCGAGCTTGCCCGTGAGGGCTCCCTGAGCAAGGAACGAGCAGCTGATCGGCTGCCGAAACCAACAGGGTTGAAAGGGTGCTGCAGAAAATCGGAACACCATTGGGGTTACTATCATTTGCAGGGGCTCCAGCTCAATTTAAGAACCACCCACGTCAAATCGGTTGGTTCCAGCTGAGTGACAGCCGGCTCGTTCCAGTCAATGGCGTAGATTCTCGGCGCGTCAAATACAGGGATGAGTTGGCCCCCATCCCGCCAGCACTGTGTTGATGAAAGGTCCCACACACAGTAGATCTTACCATCCGACGCAACAACGTAGAACTTTGCTGGGTTCCTTTGAAATAAATAAATAACAAAGATAAATAAATAAATCCAAGAACTTAACAAAGGGCGCTCCCTGATTGGATACTGCGGGCAGGGGGAGGCGGTCCCAATCAGGTCAACACTAAATGTTCCTTGCGATCTATCATCCAGCGTCAAAACGCGCTTGGACAATGCAGTTTCCATCCACCAACAAAACACCGGCCCAATTGAAAAGAAACTCGCTAATTAAGCAATCCTTACAGCGACACCACACTAGCGAAGGGGGATGAACAGGCCCAGAGCCAGGCATCCGTTCGGAAACATAGTTGGCACTGGTAAATTATTAGCGCCTGGATAGTTGTGAGGCTTTGGTGACGATGACCCGAAAGATAGAACAATACATTCAACCCATGTTGGTGGTTTTTTGTGGGGAATCACCAACAAGAAGGGTCTTCAAGGGTGCCAACAACTGGGTCAGCCTCCCACCTTAATTAATAAGCTCCCTGTTCTGAAGCACAACCGACCATACTCATCTTCCAACAAAAATAGTTGT